TAGCGTGCGGCGCTCATTCGGTTAATGGTATCAATACCCTACACACAAAGAGAAATGCCCTGGAGGTAATTTGGAGTACACAATTTTTAAATCTTCTCTCACTGTTGGCAAACCTTTCACAAACCGACGTTCTCTACGTGGCACTTGAGTCTATGCACTACATTTTTGACTTGTATGATTTAGATATACTTAACAATCGCAGGAAAAATGATACCTGCACAACAATCAGCCCCTTCACTCCCTTAAACAACGTTAGAAACGCCTCGTCAAAAAAGTTAATCTTCTTACAGCTTTACATCGCTGTTTAGTAAGAAAATAAAATAGAAACTCGGCAAATATACTCAGTTGGAATGGATGTTCACGGGAACCCCTTTAGCTATTTTAGTCTTTCATCTTATTATAAAAACATAGAGGGGAATAAAAATATTCTGTTAACGATAACGAGTAAAACAGAAAAGAAATGCAGAAGGGTGACAAAAGAGTAAGAAAAATAGAATAAAATCTAGGTCGAAAAATTTATGAGCGTACAATGCTAATGAATTTGAAGTAGACAAGCCTGCTTGCTTATTCTCAAATTTAAGTTTATGACCTCACCATCGTAATAATAGGCTATTCTCGTCTTCCCGTGTTGCTGCACCGCCATTTGAAAGCTGCGCCTGAATGAGGAAAAAATTGTTACGAGAGAGCATTCTTGATCACTGGAGAAGTTTCTCCAAAAATGTTTTTGAAGTTCGACGAGGACATGAAGCAAAAAAAGCGCTCCTTATAATTCAATTCCCCATGAGCTCACCAGGTGAGAGGATTCGTAAGGAATTCACCATACATCAAAAAAGAAGATGCAAAACCCAGGTAAGGGAAAAAGAAGGCCAGTTTCGTCAATGAACCACAACTGCGCTGCCTACATTTTTCAAAACGAATTCACAGAAAAAACAAATATCGGAAAGGCTAAGTGATGAGAAGGAGGGAAGCAATTCCAAAAACCCTGCTGATCTACGAAACATGCAAAGAATAAACATACAACAACACAAACGTTTGCACTTGCGGGAAGAACGCCAAACATCCGAAAATTGAATACGAACGAGCGCGGCGCGTAGGCTCGCTTCTGCAATTGCGGTGAAATAGCCCTACAGTATGCCAGAATCGTTCTCTTTGTGAGTAATAGGGCTCAAGCCAGTGATTTATGGGTGGGATAGAGTAATCTTCCTGACGCGACTAAGGGGGCAGATTGGAAGTGGACGTGGCCACTTATAGGTAGTAACCAAGCCTGAGGAGAGGGTGAAAGCGTTTCGCGAAGAGGCCCGGACGCATAGTCGGTCGGACGACAGCAACGACTGCAAGTGTCGCACAGCATTGGATGCGTATCGATCGTCGGACTTGCCTGAGTATTCGACGATTAGATGCAGTTAGACAGTCAGACAGTTGCGATCGTTGCTGTCGGACGACCGACTATGCGTGCGCGCCCAAGGGTTTGAGACGTTGCTTCCTCCTGATGTGCTTTGTTTTTTCCAAATCCTGGGCTTACGATTAGACCTAGTGTCACCTACTACCTGCGGTTTTTAAATTCCTTGTTTCAATGTCCCCCATCCCTGAGGACGTGAGCGCCATTTCCTTTTTCCCTGAAGGATTTTTGCCTCAAGTTTTCTCAGTTCGTCTGCCTTTCAGTAATCGTAGAGCAAAGCCATCGTCGATAAGACTTGATTACTCGTCTATTCTACGAGTTCCGGGAAGATGGTCTGGTTCAGGTTGGAGCGGTTAAAGCGCTGCACAGGATCGAAAACCAGGTGCATATCTCTGCCTAGTGTAGACGCTGGGAGAAGCTAACCTTAGAGGCCGAGGAAAATTTCCGGTTTCAAAGCAGTCTTACGCATTTCGTACGCGGCGGGACTTCTTACCTTTCCTTGCGGCCACAGTTCGGAGCTGCCTCGTAGGTAAATATTACTTCTTCACAAGAACACGTACACTACATAAAAACTAGAAGAAACAACTTAGAAATAAAGCTGATAGTGGTTTGTAACTTTAAAGGACTCCTTAGAGTCAAACGCCGCAGTTAGAGCAGACTGCTATACCGCAATGCCCCTCCAACTGAATAGACCTTCGGAAAAAATCTTCTGAGCCTATTTTGCAAGATTTTTCTTTGCTAAGATACAACATTCTGCTCAGCTGGAATCATATGGGTGCTATACAAGTAGGGTGGGCACGCCGCATTTTTTGAACAGAAATGTATGTAAGTGGGACTGCTGCCCGCTACTATACTGTCACGAGAATCGGGGAATTCGTGAGCCAGGGGGAGTGTAGCCAATCTAGGGGGTGGGGGTGAGGGCAGTCACTTGACATGCGTGAAAAGCTGGGCGTGCCCACCCTACTTGTATAGCACCGATATTTTTATAGAAAGCTATTGTTACTGGGCTGCAGTCCAATTTGGCACTCCAACGGTTGCTCTACCTTTCATAACTTTGACTAAATGCCAGTTCATGGGCTCCAAATAAAATCGGTACAAATGACAGCCCTTCATGTTCATTTCCCGCACGCACTTGCCTACAAATGTTCCCTTTATTCGCTAGGGATCGTTTTGCTCTGAATAAGGTCACACTAAAGTTCCCCTTTAGTGCCCTCTTATGTAACTCTTAACAGCTCATTGTTTATTTACAATTCGTTCTCCGTATTCAGCCATTGTTGCGCAATGTGACAACCAATCCATGGTTTACAAGTGGGTAGCTGGTTTGGTAACCGTGACAGTGCCAGCGCTGTGACCCTCGCTGGCCTTGGCTACCGGACTAATCCTCACTTCGTCATTGTTTATCGCAAGTACCACCCAGTTCAACTTTCTCTGTTTACACTGGAGTACTTAGACAATGAATACGAAACCATTGCCGTAAATAGAAGCTACCAGTGCTACTGAATATAATTGGAACTCTGCACAAAATACAATCAAATGCGATTAAATACGAAAGTCACTTAGAAGTCTTTGTCGGGAGCGGGGGGGGGGATGTGTGGTTCCTTTCTAAACGCTGCCTAATTCACAGGGAAATGGTGCTTCTCGTCCATTTTATGAACCTATAAAATTTGATGACTACCAAAAAAGAAATGCATGTATCATGGAACTATTTGATTAATGAAAATGATTTTTGCTGATCTTAACAATTAATCCAACGAAATTCTTAGCATCAGCTGTTGCGTGATAGAAGCAAACTTGTCCTTCAGTTTTTGATAGAAGCTGCCCAAAAAGCTTGATGTCTGAGGAGTAGAAGAGAAAAGAAGAGAGGATTAGAATGAAGCATTGGGTAGTTTCTGAAGAGCGTTATGCCTTTCCAGGCCCTGTGCTAGACTTCAACGCCAAGATGTCGGCCAAATAAAATGTTATCTTCAACTTTGATTAAGAGCAAATTCCTACTGATGTGAGATCCAAACCGAGGGGAAATATGGTTAAATCCATAGAGAACCCAAATTGAACACTAATAAAAATGTCACCAGTCATCTAGTTTATTTTGAAGGCAAAATGACAACAATTCCACCATCTATCAGAACTCAACAGATGCAGAAGGCTGCAGCGGTGATCAAGATAATGTTGATTTGGTTACGAATTGCGTCGGTTTTTTGCTAGCACTAGAGTTTTTTCATTGTTGTTCAGGAAGAATATGTTCTCAAACAAAATGCTATTTTTTGAATTTTGAGGGTGGCTGTCGATTTCACAATATGTGTTGTACATGCACGTAGGATGGCGAACACAAGGTGGAATACCTTATACAAGTAGCGAAGTGCGGTTAGTATAGCAGCTTTGGACAGATTTACCCTCCAGAGCCCGCATTTTTTTTATTCCATAGCCTAAGAATTGAATGAACCGCGAAATCTGCGCTAACTATGTAATTTTTGTGAAAATCAATTTCGGAAGACCGTTCGGAAACTCGTTCAGTCCGTCTTGAAGGCGGTCATTCCTGGATATCAGTGAGGCATTCGACTTTTCCGTAATAGGGCTATCGCCACTGCTGGAATATTTAGGATCTTCTACTCAGAGAGCAGGGACAAGAGACTCAGAAAATGGAATAATGGGGAAAGAGATTTAGTATTGAGCGTCTGAATGTTTGTCGCTTTGTTGTTTACTACTTTGCAACTCCGGGGGCCATCTCGAAAAAGTGGGAGCTAGGGAGGTGGCGCGAATGTTTCCAGTCAATAGCGGTTGTGAGGTGCGTTTCGATATTGAGATCAACTCGAGTTTAACTTTTCAACTGCAGCCACAGACCTCGCCATAGCATCAAGGACATTGTTATTTTTTGAGGAAAAATAAATCGAATTAAACACCTCTGTTATAAATCTTATATAACGCAGAATCTTGTCTCCCGAATTTTTTTTGTCTTATTCGCCACATCAAAGTATTCACTTGCTGGAGTTGGAGGCTGGTAAGAGTCGTTTAGTCTCCGTTTTCGCGCATGCCCTTATGGTTAGACGGAGCCTGAAATGTGAAAAATGAAGTGTATCCCCTTGTGCTCAGCAATAAGGGGAGCGAGAATAGAAGAATTTAGTTGAAATGATTCAAACTACCCGATTTCGCCTCATTGTCACCACAGCGTTATCAGAAGATTTCAATAAAAGTTTATTTGTAATAGCACGTACTAGTTACAGCATGGCAAGACATAAGGCACCTTTGACACAACAATCGTTCAAGTGAAATGAGATCAACTACGGTCATAAACAAGCGTAAATCACACAATGGTTGCGCTACGGATGTGGTGACCAGAAGTAGCTCTGCTGGTAGTGCGAATAGGAGGGCGGCTGTGGCAGGTATACGGTAGGCAGGGTGGTCGATTGTGTTGAAGGTTGATAGTGTGCGGGTGATGGAGTCAGAAGACGACAGCATTCCTTGGGACGGTGACGATGACGACGTTACACGAACATTACCGTTGGCACATTCTTCTGATCGAGCCCTTTCCGTGTGTAGCTGTTCCGATCTGAAAACACCGTAATTTGTAGGGATACGGTGGATCTTGTGAGGAAGTTTATCTCCTGGGCTCGAAACCCTCCCAAACAGTAAAGGAAGCAATGTCGTTGGTATGCGTGTGATCGGTCCCTTTAAGTCCTTCTGCTGGCTCTCATTTTAGTAGTCTGGGTTATTGCAGAATGCTCACCTGTATTGTCCTGCAGGCGACTGCCTGCGAGATCTTCCACACAAAGCGGAGGATTGGCCGTTGCTACTGTACATTCCGGACACTATAATACTGCAACTTTTTCCTTTATTTTCGTTATGCCCTGAAAACCTAAGCAGATTGAAGGAGAAATGTGAGCTGTTAGTAATAAAGGAGGCAAAAATATTCAGAGTGGAAAGATCAATGAAAAAGTGTAACATTGATTCTTTCCGAGGGTTATTGTTGTCGCCTTCTCATCCAAAAGTTTCTTTTTGATTTCCTCTCCAGTGCCTACTGCCTCTTTCCTTTTTGATTTTATCCGACTGTTCTGACTCATTGACCTACCAAAGCCATCACAACTTGTCCCCACACAGTAGACTGAACAAAATTTCAATTCAAACTGAGCTACCACAAAAAATAAAATAAAAAATAGGTAATTAATAAAATAGTTACTATTGATCAATCAATACCCTGTTTATCACCGCTAAGAATTGTGTTGAGATGTTCAATGTATTTCAGAGCAAGCCGTAACGTTTTGATCTTCGGCAAACGAGTTGAAGATGGAACATGAGGAAGTTGCCTGGAACGAAGGCAATATTTTGCATCAGCATTGTGTGTCCCGACCTCCGCATATGGTTGTCAGCAATATGTAGTGTAATATAATGTAATATAATGTAATATGTAATAGTAATATGTACTTGAAGAGTCAAAGAGAGGAAAATCACAAGAAGTTTACCTTTGAAGTTTCTCAAAAGCGTCGTTGATTTCGATGTTGCGTTTTTTCTCTTTGAGTGTGGATCGAAGGCGACGATTCTCATCAGGAGAAGATGACGACGAAGACTGGCGAGTCATTGCGGTAACCTTCAAAGAGAGATCTTCGGAAAGGAAAAAGGACCGGCAATGGTTTCGTGAGATCGAATCGAACAGATATCTTCGAACATAGTTACTTTCCACTATTCGACGTAGTTAGACTGAAAAAATATTCAATCCCAAAGAAAGGAAAGGAGGCGACATGAAGGAGGAGCGATAGCGATCTAACACCCATGACTGAACTACCAATGCGAGCTCAACCCGACACCCCGCCCACTCGGCCGGCCGCATACTGTAGCCCCGCCCACTTCCGTGACTGCTTTGGTAACGGGATTAAGCTTGCCAACAAAGGAGTATTGATAAAGGATATAAGCGGGAACTGATTTGTTTTGTTGTATTAGGATAATAATAATATCCAAATGGTGATTGTGCTGTTATCATGCCTTGATTGAAGATGGTGTCACCAACTGCTGAGAAAAGGGGTGAACTTTGTCGTGGAAGAAATCGATAAATAGTTGAACAGTGGAAGCTTTCGCGTGGAATGACTACTTGTAGGTAAAGGAGCATCCAAGTACGACTTTTGATGAAACTTGGTGAAAAGGTGTGACACCAAGCAGCCCCACTGTGGTGTCACACTTTTCACCAGTTTTTTAATCAAAGTCTATTTGTAAGGGTTACTGACGGTCATGAATATGGTACTAATTATTCATGCTAACTCCATTTTGCGCGAATTTTGAAACGTCAACTCGAAATGCAAAAATTTGTCACCACGAGGAATCGAACTAGGGACCCCTTTTCTGGTATTCAGAGGGCCGTTCAGGAAAAGCTTAACACACCCTGAACGGCCTCGTTTGTAAGAGCTCACCTTTTCGCTCACTGTTACATTTCATTTAACACGTTGACGACAGCCCGTTGTGCGCGCATCTCGGCAACTTTTTGTTTATTATTTTCAAAATAGACATTACTTCTTCAACAATTCCACCACTGTTAATTGGTGCACAGTTTTCCGGATAAGATGATGCATCCAGAGTTTTGAAATATGAAAAATGCCAAATAAACCGACCAAAACGAGCCCCATCCGGTGAAAATCTGACGCGCATGCGCGTCATGCTGTCGTCAACGTGTTAAAGAGAATTGACCCCACCCTATAGAATTTACGTGAACGTGTTCCATGAGCGCTGTGAACGAGTAAAGTCCTATAAATAGGGGGGGGGGGTCAGCAAACGAACAGTAGCCATACCGGCAAGAAACTGTGATGCTCCAGAAAAAATCAACCAGTAATGTACCAAACATAATTAGCCATAA